CAAGGTGGCAGCGGACCCTGGCATCTCAGGATCCTGCAACATGAGAACTTGGCAAGCCCTGCATCAGAAACCTACCTAGTTTACAGTTCTTGAATGAAGCAAATGGTTTCCTCTGTACTCATAACTGCACCCCTTCTGATGTCAAAGCCAAGGAGAAGCTTGTCCCCTTATTGAAGCCAGGAGGAAGTTCCCATTTGGAAATTCCCAAGGAACACCAATGCCAATTAAGAGGGGCAGGCATCAGAATGGTGGCACCTCTACGTGTTCAGCATGGTGCTTTAAAGATGTCATCCCTCATCACGACTTTATAAAGGAGGTAAAGTTATCCCACTCTACACTGAGGAATCTGAGGCTCAGAGACAGTGAGGAACAAGCCTAAGGTCATACAGCTTGTCAGAGAAAAGCCAGTATTCAAACTCAGGTCTATCTGACTTGAAATTCCATGAGCTTTGCACTGCCTTGTGCATACAATATGGCAAGGCTGGGTGTTTTGTGACCCCCACTTAAGGTGTGGCTTTACAGGGACCAGGAGAAAGGCCAGTGTGGGAGGGTGGGTAAAGAAAGAGGTGGTTTTTCCAAGAAGGCCTGAGACTCACTACACACCCTCAGCCCTGACCAGTGCCACTGAGGCAGAAGCCTGCATGGGTGTCGTGTGGAAGCAGCTTCAGGATGAGGTCCATAAATTTGCATCATGGCTGAGTTGAGTGAATGAATGAATAAATGAATGAATGAAAAGCAAACATATGGGCAGAAGTTGGAAATACTGGACAGCACTAGAGTGGTTAAAAGTACAAAGGCTGAGTCAGACTGAGTAAGTTATTTAAACTCTGAGCCTCAGTTTACTCACCTACAAAATGGGGACAATAGTATAGCATAGGATTTTTGCAAATGCTCAACCATTTGTGGCAATTCTTATCCTTCTCACTATGGTTATTGTTTCTATCAGGGACAGTGGCCCATTTGCATAAGGAAGTCGTGGAGATACTCGTATGATTCCTTTCATTCCCAAAGCAGGCCACTCACACTGTCTTCTGGTGATTCATTTTTCTACTTCAGGGAAACTCTAGGAGCTTATTTGCTCCTTTCTTTTTAACCAGGGAAAAAATTTTGGAAGGAGATCTGCCTGAACCTCAAAACTCTTATTATAAACCTGGACCTATGGGTTCCCCCTCAGGCCCCAGTGCTCCAGAGGCACTTGGAGGAAGGATGTCCCAAGCAGACAAGGAACCTGTGGTCTGGCGGGTATCCAGTGGGTGGAGCCAGAGAGCTCCCAGCCACAGGCCACCTTGCTGAAGGCTGATAAGTACTATCTGCACATCCAAGCGGACAAGAGACCCAGACGAAAGAAGACCTATGATAGCTGCATGGCTGGCTGTGGGATTACATTTTTTTTTAAATTCTGTGCTCATAAAAGTACATTTCAGTTAGATTTTTACCATAACAGAACAAGCCACAAAATTGAAATTTAAAAAGAAGGAGGAAGGAAGAGAGATTTTAATTCAGTTTTAGATCCCCCTGCTATGGAATGTTTGCTTCCTGAATTTTAAGAGGCAGCAGAGTATGTCCGAGCATTCTCAACTGGAAAGAGGGACATACCAGGGGAACACTGATATTTTTGTTTTCTCTTCACTGGAGAAAAGGGTGCCTGGCTTACAGAAAACAACTTGCATGTACTTTATCTTCCCTACCCTCCCAACAGCCCCTCAGGCTCTTACTGGAGTCTTGTATCTGTACAGAAGTTGTGTCAAGTAAGTCTAAGAAAATTTTACCCCAGGAGTACTTAGCTTCCGAGTCCACACGGCAGCAAACCTGCCCCATGGTTTTTACTTTAACATGTTGATCCTTTTTTCAGTTGTAAATCTTTCCAAAAACATGAGAAGGGGGCCAGAGGAAACAGAAGAAAAAGATGCATTTTGGTAGGATTCTTGCTGGTCAAAGATCTTGGAATGCCGTGGAAACAATGGCAAAGCAGTTGGCACCGTGTCAAGAACAGAGAGCGAGAGAGAAAGAGACATCAGGTACTGAAGCCAGGGGACCAGTTCCTTGGTGTTGCTTTGGCATTGGTGCCTGCAGTGGGAGGAGAAAGCTGAGCCCACAAACACACAGAGCAGAGCAGGGCTCTGGGTATATAACTGTTAGGTGCCTCCCTCCAGCACTATCTCCTGGGACGCACTCTCCCTTGCTGTGGAGCCGGGCAAATCTTTATCAGCCACTGCCTTCTGCCGTCAGGAAGCCAGCTAGAGTGGTATAAGTACCCATTCTCATTTCTATTCACTTCCCACTATTCACCATTTGGAGCTTGTCTTCAGAGTCCAAAGTTTTTCTATTTTTCTTAATGGAGAAAATGTTTTATGTTGCCAGACTTGATCAGAAGTAGCAAAATCAGAGTTCTGATAGACTAGAAAGCAATTTGCCAAAGCCACAGGCTTCTTCCTGGTAGCTCAAAGGCATGCTTTATTCGTGATTTCTGAAGCAAGGTGCATGCAGCACCTAAGCTGATGTGGAAGAGGGTTTGCAGGGAGGTGTCCACGCGAGGTGACCAATGATTCTGAGTTAATTGACACTATTAGGAGTTTCGAGCCATGTTCTTGAAATAACAATTCAGACTGTGTTCTTGAAATAAGTTTGAGACAAGTGTCTACATGACTCAAAAGAAAAAAGTAGTCAACTGGGAATGGCCCTTTCCAGTGATGGATTTATGGACTCCTCTGCATGTGCCGTCATGCTGAAGGAAATGTTCTGTGCACCCATGAGGAGAACGAGTCAGTCACAACTAAAGAAAGCCACGAACTCGGCAGTTTCCTTGCAGCTGCACTTTCTGATGTGTGGAACCAAGACTTCTGAGAGTAGCGTTTTCTAAGGAGGGAAGTGTTTTAACGAGGACACAGGGATATCTGACAGCGTTTTCTTTGTTTCTGATTACAGCTTTAAAGAACACTCGGCCTCTCCTGCCACTTAAAAACTACCTAAAATAAAGATTATAGTAAGTACAAAATTAGTGCCAATGCTGAAGATCTGTTTATTATGCTAGAGCATGCGTGTTTAAATGCTTTCTTCCATATTCATAGCCAACACTTCATATTATTTTTAAAAGTAATAGCTGAGGCATGGAAAATTGAAGACTTCAGGTCTCTCCAATTGCACATATTTCTAGTACATGCCAGCAATAGAATACATTTTATTTCATGTGATAAAATAGAGGAGATTAGTTGAACTGAAATCTTGATACTGCCTCGTATGAAAACGCCAAGCACTGCTTCATTTTACTAGTGATCTGGGAGATGAAAAGTGCTTTTGACTTCTGCTGGTAAGCTCTTCAGGCGCAGCTTCCAGAATATTCTTGGGATGTTAACTTACAGCACACACAAGCCTTGCTGTAGATATGTCAGCTTTGAGGCACAAGGAGACATTTGTTTGTCAGAGAGTAACTGCTTCTGGCAAGGGCATAGGGTAAAACTGGGGATGGCAGAGCCCTTTCTCTGTGGTTATTCAACCCCACCTCAAGAATAGTTCACAGGGACTGTGAAGACAGTCTGTGCCCACTGCATCGCCTATTCCTGGCCCCTGCTGCAGACTCCAGCCCACAGAAACTGCTGCTTCACTTATATGTCAACTTGAACAGAACCTTGGGTGGCATTAATGTGCCTTACCCCAGACTGAAAAATTAAGAACCACCAGAGCTGACCTATTTCACAAGATCCACTCTGCCTGCCACATGCTGAGTGAATTTAGATGGTGCCCACTCTGAACCTCAGTTTTCTCTTCTATAAAATGAAGTCTTGGGCCAGCATGGTGGCTCATGCCTGTAATCCCAGCACTTTGGGAGGCTGAGGCAGGTAGATCATTTGAGATCAGGAGTTCAAGACCAGCCTGACCAACATGGTAAAACCCTGTCTCTAATAAAAATACAAAATTAGCCAGGTGTGGTGGCATATGACTATAATCCCAGCTACTCAGGAGGCTGAGGCAGGATAACCACTTGAACTTGGGAGGCAGAGGATGCAGTGAGCTGAGATCATGCCATTGCACTCCAGCCTGGGTGACAAGCACAAAACTCTGTCTCAAAAAAAAAGAAGAAAGCTTGAACTACTTGGTCTCTAAAATCCTACCTAGCTCTCAAATTTCCCAGTCTCTTGCTTCTAGGAAAATACTGATGTTGAACTCAAGGAAGTGGTTCTCCAAGATGTGTGATTTTCATGGTAGGGGAAAGGCAGGCACCAGGCAGGGGCAGAAGGGGAAGGTGTCTACACTGAGAGAATGTGACAACCCCTGCTTGTCTCTTTTTCATTCTTCATTCTTTATTTCTTTGTCTTTAGCTTTATATAACATGAGGGCCTTACCACTGGATTTCTTAACCATTTGTTCTTTATCAAATAAAAATATTCATAATGCAACACACAGGCACATCAGCGTGAGCAGAACTAGCCAGCTAGTTTACCATAGGCAGATACACATGCATGCACATGCACAATATTACCTGAGACATGCCAGAAGTATTTTCCAAAATTGTGGATTTTTCTGAGTCACTCTGGTAAAGAGTAGGTTTTCAGGTTTCAGGCCAAGCCAGTAGAAAATAGTAAAATTAGAATAAACAACAGAGGGAGAAAAAGAGAAATACCACACGCGCAAACTGTTTTGAAACTTCTGGAAAAAGAGTGATATTCTTGGATGCAATGAACTTTTAAAAAGGAAAAAGAAAATTTATAAAAAGCTGCCACATTTGTAGAATTCAACTAAAAACTGTTTATTATTAACATAGTAATGTTCAGAATTTAAGAATTCCTGGCCTGGCACAGTGACTTATGCCTGTAATCCCCAGTGCTTTGGGAGGCCGAGGTGGGATGATCACTTGAGGCCAGGAATTCAAAACCAGCCTGGACAACACAATGAGACTTTGTCTCTGCAAAAAAAAATAGTAAAAATAATTTTAAAAATTAGCTGGATGTGGTGGCACAGGCAAAAAAAAAAAAAAAAAAAAAAAAAAACACCACTTAGGAAAGTCTCAAAGCAGGCTTGTGAATGCATACAAACTGTGGCTAGTATCTTACTACAGAAAATAGAGCCTGCATCATGCATCCTTCTTCCCATGTTTCATAAACAAGACCAGGGGAACCTGTTGTAGGGCAACCTGTTGCGAGGGTGTTGGTCCCCAAGATGCAGCCTTTACAATCTGCCCCCAAACGTTTCAGAGCATGAAGTCCATTCTCCCCTCTGGAACAGGCAGCTTCAGATCCACCAGCAGAGACACACAGCAGAACAAAATCTGGGCATTGGTCTCCGTGTAGGATGGCTTGCCATTGTTACTATTTTTTCTTAGGCAAAGTAAATGAACATTTAATATCCATAGTTGGCTGGATGTCCCTCCACCCACTGCGAGCTCTTTGGTGAAGGGGAAGTCCTCCTCTGTTAGAAGTCTCCCATGTGGGGCCATGTCTTCCCTCACCAGGAACCTGCTGGGTGTGCTCCAGCCTCCCTCAACTTGCCTTTTGCATGGTCGTTGGAGCTAGGGCACACGTCACGCTGATTCACATATTTTTGCCCTTTGTCACGTATTGAGAAAAAGGAAGGATGAATGGACGGTCTTTGATTGGTGGCGCTGGGGACGCCCGTCATGGTCCTGTTTGGAAGGACCCTTTTGGAACTAAAGCTGGTGAGGCAGCGCACAGAGGCATCGACCCGCTAAGCTTGGCCCTGGCAGATGGGTCTCAGGAACAGGTATGCTTCCTTCATGCAGCCTCTGGCTCGGGGAACCTGGGAGCCTGCTCCAAATTCTGGTGTGTCTTTTCTGGGCAGAGCCTGGGAAGTCGGGGTTGGCTGTGAGATGAGCCAAAAGCACAGGGATCTCGGTCCAAAAAGCCCTGCAGTGCTCATCTTGGTTTGGAGGCTGGACCATTGAGCCGAGGAGTTTTGACAGCCATGAAAAAGCTGGAGTGAAGTCACCTGTGGCTTTACATTTACCCTGTGTCTACTTTATTAGAGTGCCTTTTATTTATTGTCCCTTCTTTTTAGTTGAAATTAATGGCTACTTCACTGGGGCTAAGATATCTGAGCATCGGCAGGTCCTGGCTCCATAGCTTTGCATTGTCTTCCCAGTTAGGATGTGTGGACTCTTAAAGTTCCCCAAGGAATGCAAATATTCTAGCATGGCAAAATTCTAGCGTGTACTACAGCTTTAAGTTATTTTCTCCTAAGGAGTTCTCATGCCTGACTTCTGAAGCAAGTAGTCAGGGCTCCCAGGGGCTCCAGAAGGGTTCAGCAGTTCAGAATAAATGGTTCCTGGGGACTCTGAAACAGCAGCAACTGTCTGCTCAGGTCATGAGAAGACCCTTCTCTGCAGGAATCCTAGCCCTACAATGCACCCCAATTATGTTGAAATTAGATTCACAAATTGCAATAAATCTTCTATATGTTGGGCTGTAGATTTAGAGAAAGCTAGTTTAATCTTTACTTAACTTTGGGTGGCTCAACAGGAGACTCAGGCCATTCAGGTTCTCAATCACGTCTGGCCAGTTATATTATCAGGTTTCGAATCTGTATCTCTAAAATCTCTGAGGTGATGGGATATTTAAACCCCTCTAAAATAAATAAATGTATGCCAGAAATTTTGAGAACAGAATTCATTTGTTCTGAAATAGCCCAAGTTCCTGCTTTGGTAGTTGATGGAAAATGCCACCTGAGTGTTTGCATTTGATACTGCCACCTTAGGGCTTCATAGATTCAGTTCCAGAAACTCAAGGCAGTTGTCTTTGGGCTGCTAGTCCTTGCCTGAGCTGAGCCTGATGCCTCCCATAAGTTGGTATGGCTTTGAAAATGGGTTACTGCAGCAGAGGCAGGGGCTGACCAAGCAATATTTTCAGCTATGAAATTTGAAGAAGATAATCTGAAAATAAATGATAATCACAACTTTGACAGGTTATGAAATAAAAGGTAATTTTTCATAGGTGCTTAATTATTCATACAATTTTTCATCTTTAACTATGGAGCCAACTCAGCTCCATATGGACTTAGCTTTGGTTCCTGACCACGAAGATTCACACAGATGTTGGTGTCAACACTGTTTTGCCAAGACAAGATGACCTTGGTCTGGAATGCAGTGTATAAATAGCTGCTTTTTTGTGCAACAATTAGTAGTTCATCATTATTTAAAAAGCAGAATGGTTAGTTGGGCAGTGAAGTAATACAATTGAAATGTAATTGTTAGCAATAAATCAGTTACTCATATTGATTTCCTTACTGGGATTAATAGAAGCCAAAGCTAGAGTTCAGTTTTTTAAAATAGATATAATTTACTATCTATTCATTGCTATTTGTTAGATAATTTGTTAGATATGGTAGATGGAACAATGATGGGGCCAGAAATAGCCATGAGGACCATTTTACCACAGCCTGGCAACATGGAGAAGATAGACTGGTTTCTCTGCATGGGCTTTCAGTGTTTCTTTAGTCATGTAGTCGTGTCTTATATGGCTGTGGCTTCAACATTCCACAATTATGCCTTCCAGGGTCTGATGATTTTGGCGTTTCCCTGCTTCCCAATTGACCTGGCTGTGCTGTTGGCTGCTCTTGCACACTCAAGGTGGTTTTGCCATTGGCTCCCTCCCTCAGCCTGCCTCTGGGATTATGCCACTGGTACTCTTTTATGTCTACCATCAGCACTATGAAATCATCATTTTTGTCTTCAAGGTACCAAATTCTGGTGATATTGGTGCTTTTTGCAGAAAAAGAAATCTATCATGAGAAGTGAATGGTCCCATAGTGAACACAGTCATGGTAACAGTGTTCTTATGTTCCAGAGGTGTGTTTACTATAATTATGCCCTGCACATTTTTCTATCATACAATCCTTAGATTACAGCTCTTTGGTTTTCAACAGCTTTGTCCAATTCCATCTGTCCCAGTTTCTCTACCTTGGTGAAATAGCATTCTTGCCTGGTTTTACACATTTAAATAACAAATTCCAAAAGTAAAGAGTATCTGAGGCAGTCATATGACATAAGGACAGATTCAAGCAATCTTGGACTAGCAGAGGGTGGGGAGGCAGTGTCAACACACACAGTTTTTTAAATTTCTTCCCTTTCCATCTTTTAAAAATAAAACTTTTGTAAAATAAAAACTTAATTTAGAAGGCTGCCTGTTTTGACAAGTAGCTGATCAGCCCGCATTGGTGAGCAGGCCATTCCATAACATGATTTCTTGGTCCTTAATTGAGAGCCTGGAGCCTAAGCACTGGATTTTGGTTATTTCTATATGATTCGACTCATTCTGTTGACATTAACTGTTTTTCAGTCTTCTCAACTAGACTGAGCTCCTTAAGTGTAGGAAATATGTGCTCAGTAAATGTTTGTTGGACCAGACACTGCGCATTATGAAATTAAAGACCATAAACTTCTCATGGTAGCATTAGAGACACTGATAACAAAGGTACTGTGGGATTTCGGTTTGGGCAGTAAGCTCTGTGGTGGCATTTCAGGAGGAAAATGGTTCTCTCTTAAGTTCTGTGGAATATAATGGTCAAGATCTTCTGCTGTAACCAGGCCCAAAGCTGGCTAATTTGGAGGGCTCTGCTTTAGGGATACTTATGAACTCTGTCCTTCCCTCAAGGAGCCAGAGGAAGAGATAGCCATGGAGGATAGCCCCGCTATGGTTAGAGTGGATAGGGGTGAAAACCAAGTTTCACCGTGTCGAGGGAGAAGGTGCTTCCCCAAAGCTCTTGGCTATGTCACCGGTGATATGAAAGAACTTGCCAACTGGCTTAAAGGTAATTTATGCTTTCATCTTTTGGAAAGATGGGAGAAGCAGCTTTGGGGGAAATGGTTTCCTGGTACTTCCACTTATATCTTTAGCTATATTGTCCAACTTTTTATAGATCTCTTTACAGTGTTTTTCTACTTTTTATCTTTTAACCTGCAAACTTCTCCAAATTTTTTTTTTCTTATGGAGACAGTGGCCAGGGCCCAGCTCATATTAGAAGACGACACCTGGCTTCATCCTGTAGTTTCAGTACTTAAAAGTTAAATTTACTATTGGCAATTCATTCCTTTGGCTTCAGAGTTTGTGCCTGTAAGCATGATAAGTAAGTGCATTCGATGCTTTCAGGAGCTTAGATTCTAGGAAGGGCCATGTGAGTTGAGCATATGGTAGATAGATGCAGGGATCTGGGTGCAACTAAAGGGACAAAGCGTTCAGAGAGAAAGAGATAAAGAAATATCAGAAGCACATTTGACTTCCAGGAGATTTTGCTGATTTTGCTCAGGGTGGGCCTGTGGTTGAAGAGTGTCAGCTGGCTGCTTCCTCAGCTCTGCTTTATCTCATCCCTTCCAGACAAACCTGTGGTGCTCCAGTTTGTCAACTGGATTCTTCGGGGCATATCCCAAGTGGTGTTCGTCAACAACCCCATCAGTGGAATCCTGATTCTGGTGGGACTTCTTGTTCAGAATCCCTGGTGGGCTCTCACTGGCTGGCTGGGAACAGTGATCTCCACTCTGATGGCCCTTTTGCTCAGCCAGGACAGGTAGGTGCACCCTTTCCAGACTTCTCAGCTCCCTTCTAAGACACAGGGGCTGACCAGTTACTATGGGCAACGGTAGTAAAGCCATATCCTTCCCAGGAGAAACAACCTTTAGTCCAAAGAACTCTTCATATTTGCCTTTAGTCAGAGGTCAGAGAATCAGTTACAGTCTCTTACCTTTGATATCTGAATAAGTGGCTGGTCTAAACAATGCCAGATTCTTATGGCATTATGTGCTAACCAGAACTAAACTACAAGTAATTCCCTGGAGGGGTTCTGAAGGAATCTTCTTTAATGATTGATAAAATTATTTGTTATCAGCATTCTATTCGAGCAAAAGTGCATATGAGTTCAGGAAAAGTTTTAGTGGCTTAATAATCCCCATTATAGCTTGTTGCCATGATGAGTTTGGCAAACTCATTCTTCATAGACAATGCAAAAGTCAGCTCAGCTCCTGGAGAAAAGAATAACTATAAATTCCAACTTAGTAGATTTTTTTTTTTTTTTTTTTTTTTTTTTGGAGACGGAGTTTCGCTCTTGTTACCCAGGCTGGAGTGCAATGGCGCAATCTCAGCTCACCACAACCTCCGCCTCCTGGCTCAGGCAATTCTCCTGCCTCAGCCTCCTGAGTAGCTGGGATTACAGGCACGCGCCACCATGCCCAGCTAATTTTTTGTATATTTAGTAGAGACGGGGTTTCACCATGTTGACCAGGATGGTCTCGATCTCTTGACCTCGTGATCCACCCGCCTCGGCCTCCCAAAGTGCTGGGATTACAGGCGTAATCTACCGCACTCGGCAGTAGATTCTGACTTAAGAAGCCTCGGCGAGTCTACTGATACATGCATTAGATTAAAAATAGCATGTATGTCATAAATTGATCTGTCACTGAAGAATTGATGAGCTGACTCTCACCAGGACAGTAGACAGCTCCTCACTAGCCAGTTCCTTCAAGGAGGGGACCAGTATTTCAGGTGTCTGGGATTAACGCATAATCCCCAGTGTGGTCATCACACAACTAAACTCTTGTAATACTCGCTGCAAATTGCCTGAAGAGGTCCATGGGGAGGGACTTAGCAAATGTTTCACTTTTCCATCAATTTCAAGGAGGCTGATTTGCTCTCTGTAGAAGGGAATTGTATAGCTTAGGTTACACTCTGTTCCAATGCAGGCCAAGAAAAGGTCTTCTCAGTTTGGGGATAGAATCTAGATTTGTGTCATATTGAATATTCCTTTATTCTTTTGCTCTGATGACATGATCAACTATTTTTTGTCAGATATTACTTAGAAGACAAGTCATATGTATATATGTTAGTTTCAAATGTTTTACTTTCCTTGGTCTGAAAAGACTGCATTAAAATGGCAATCCTCTGTTGTAAGTAAACATAGGTCTTGCTGTGGCTTTAACTATGGCATTCCACAATTTATAGATGTTGTCATTAATTTTCCAATCAGATTCAAGCATTAACATCTCCAAGTCAGCTGTTGAGAGGACAAGTCTGCATAGCTCTCCATTGTCATCACGTGTAGTCCCAGTTTCTGAGTTGCATCATTGCAAATTGCGTCACCTCCAATATGCCCTCAAGGATTATTTAAGGGAGACAAAGAACTTTTGAACAGGGAGTCCCACCTTTAATGTTCATTCAGGTTAATGTATGTGACATCATCTTGCCTGTTGCAACGGTGCCTCCTGGCCCAGTTAGAAACAAGCCAAGAAGCAGCTGTCACGCTATCCTGTACCAGCCCCTGCAGTGTGGCTCGCTGTTTGTAGCACCTCCTGCTCAAGCCCAGCACTAGACCTCACCCACTCACTTCACCATTCTTTACTCCCCCGTCCCCCTACAGACATCGCCCTTGAGTGCCAGGCCCTCGGGAAGTGGATCCTGTGCCAGACATTGTCAACTGTCAGAGCTATGGGGGACCTGGCTTGTCAGCGTTGGAGCTTAGTCTATGGAAATTCTTCCATTTCTCACTAGGGGGATTCTAGTTATCAATTATGAAACCAGGACCATTTTGGTCAGAGTAGAATGCTTATACACTGTTGGTAGAAATGTAAATTAGCTCAGCCCCTGTAGAAAGTAGTTTGGAGATTTCTCAAAGTACTAAAATAAAATTACCATTTGACCCAGCAATCCTATTACTGGGAATATACCCAAAGGAAAGGAAATTGTTCTACCCAAAAGACACCTGCACTCACATGTTCAATTCAGCACTGTTCACAATAGCAAATACATGGAATCAATCTAGGTGCCCATCAACAGTGGAGTAGATAAAGAATATGTGGTACATATACACCATGAACTACTACATAGCCATAAAAAGATTGAAATCATGTACTTCGCAGCCACATGGATGCATCTGGAGGCCGTTATCCTAAGTGAATTAACATAGAAACAGAAAATCAAATACTGCCCATTTTCACTTATAAGTGGGAGCTAAACATTGAGTAAACATGGACACAAAGATGGAAATAGTAGACATCTGGGACTCCAAAAGAGGAGAGGAAGGGAAACAAGGGTTGAAAAGCTACCTATCGGGTACTATATTCAACATTTGGGTGAAGGGTTCAATAGAAGCCAAACCTCAGTCAGCGTCATGCAACATATCCACGTAACAAACCTGCACACGTACCCCCTCAATCTAAAAAAGAATAAGCAGAAGGAGGAGGAGTAGAAGAAGGAGAAGACAGGGAAGAAGTGAGATTGAATACTAAGCAAAAAGCAACCTCAGAAAGAAATGGGTGCTCAACATGCACATAATTAAATGGAGTACTTCTCCAAGTAAGAGAAAAGCAATCGTTTTTCTTTGTAATAACTTGGAAATGTACATCTGGAGATAACAAAATAGAAGCATCAAAACACAAAAATGTATACTAAGTTGGAAGATGAATGTTTATAAGATCAAAGGCACTATGAAAGTGAATTTACATTTCAAGAATCTTGTATCTCTCACCAAGAAATCAAACTGAGGAAACAGTTTCGTATGCTAAAGGCGCTATTCAAGTCAGAGGCTCTTGATTTAAAAGAAAGAATTTTTCCAAAGGAAAGGCTAAGAGGAAACAGAGCAGATTGCCTTGCTAAACTCCCCTTTCCTCTCTCAGCCACTGTAGACCTGTTTTTAGCTGTGATACCTGTGGAGGGAGTCGTTCTATCTCAGGGGTCCCCCAACCCCTGGGCTGGAGACGGGTACTAGTCTGCGGCCTGCTGTGAACCAGGCCACACAGCAGGAGGTGAGCGGGGGTGGGGGGGGCGCAGGTGAGCATTACCGCCTGGGCTCCACCTCCTGTCACATCAGCAGCGGCATTAGATTCTCTTACAAGCACAAACCATACTGTGAACTGCGCATGCAAGGCATCTAGATTGAATGCTCCTTATGAGAATCTAACAATTGCCTGATGATCTGAGGCGGAACAGTTTCATCCCTAAATCATCCCCCATTTCCCATGCATGGAAAATTGTCTTCCATAAAACCTGTCCCTGGTCCCAAAAAGGTTGGGGACCACAGATCTAAATGCACATTTATATTTTTATCTATGTATATTTCACTTCATGTCTTTATTAATATTTGTAAAATACTTATATAGATTTTGAAATACATTTCAAAATCTCATTTTTTAATATGATTATGATCTGGAAGTTACTAGTGTTATTTATGTGCAAGTGCAACCAACGCCAACCCAGAAAATGTCCATGCTGTGCCTCTTGCCCTGCAGGTCATCAATAGAATCTGGACTCTATGGCTACAATGCTACCCTGGTGGGAATACTCATGGCTGTCTTTTCGGACAAGGGAGACTATTTCTGGTGGTTGTTATTACCTATATGTGCTATGTCCATGACTTGGTAAGTTACAACTGGTTTTCAAAATGCCTTTTTTTACAAAAAAAAATATGGCAGGAGGAGGGAATGGGCATTATTTTCATATGGGCATAGAGTTTCAGTTTTGCAAGATGAAAAATTTTCTGCAAATTGATAGTGGTGATGGTTGTACAACAATGGGATTATTCTTAACGTCACTGAACTGCACACTTAAAATGGTTAGCCGGGTGCAATGGCTCTTGTTTGTAGTTCAAACGACTCAGAAGGCCAAGGTGGAAGGATCACTTGAGCCCAGGAGTTAGGGGCTGCAGTAAGCTATGATTGCATCACTGCACTTCAGTTTCCAGAACATCCTTGCTTGGTCAGAGTGAACAGAAGAAAGAGAAGGAGGAGAAGGAGGAGGGAGAGGGAAGGGAAGAGGAGAAGCAGGAGGGGGAAGAGGAGGGAAAATAGCTAAAATGGTAAATTTAAAATTGGATTCCTTTAGATTCTGTCGGAAACAGAAAAAACCATTTTATAAGATGTATATTTCCTTTCAACCAGTTATTTGGCCTTTTGTCTGATCTGGCTACACATTCACCAATACCTCTCAACCAGAGGTTCTCAACCCTGGCTGCACCCTGACTCTTCCATGGGGAGCAGAAACCATGCTGCAGTGAACATACAAGTGCAGGTGTCTTTTTGGTAGAAACACACTGATGCACATGGCCCCACACACACCTAACTCCTCCCTCCCAAGACACTGCTGTCATTTGTCTGCGTCAGCACCTGGGCATTGGGAGTTTCTAAAACTTCCCAGGTGACTCTACATTATAGCCTGAGTTCAGACCCACTTCCTTCATCATTGCTTCTCGAACTTGAGCATTATCAGAATCACCCACAGTGGTTGTTAAAACACAGGCACCTGTTCCCCATCCCCGGAGTTTCTGATTTAATCTATCTGGGGTGGGGCCTGATCATTTGCATTTCTAACACATTCCCAGGTGATGCTGGGAGAACCACTGTGCCTAAGTGAATTCTCCTTACCCACCTGCCGCCCAGCACTCCCTTAGAAAATTTTTTTCCATGGAATTTATTTTTTTTCAAACCCAAATTCTTCAAACTAGTTTTATTGTCTCAAATCCTTTTTCTGGAAACAAAGATTTCCTTCTTTCTATATTGCAATTAAATATAAAATACTAATATGCACATAAATGAGAAGCACAGCCTGCTGTGGGCAGTATCTGCAGAAGGGCCACTCACCCTTGCTGCACCCACGAGTGTGTGGATGAGGACCCACCTATAGAGCCAGCCTCCTCAGGAGGTAATCTGGGACCTGCTCTGAAGAACAGGTTCACAGGAAGGAGGCCTTGCCCGCAAGTGCTCACCACGCTCCCTTCCACAATCCAGGAAAATGGGAGTTCTGGTCTTTAAGTGATGGCTCCTTGATTGGGCCAACAAATGAGAGCCTACGCAGGCATCCCCAAACTTTTTACACAGGGGGCCAGTTCACTGTCCCTCAGACCGTTGGAGGGCCACCACATACTGTGCTCCTCTCAGTGACCACCAATGAAAGAGGTGCCCCTTCCTGAAGTGCGGCGGGGGGCCAGATAAATGGCCTCGGGGGCCGCATGCGGCCCGCGGGCCGGTTTGGAGACGCCTGGCCTACAGGGACCTGGGGGCCACGCAGCCCAGCCCCGCAGTGTCCAGGCTCAGAGACTGAGGAGACGCGCCTTGCCCAGGTCATGCAATTTATCAACAGCTCAAGGACGCACACTCTGAGATCTTTTTCCTCTGGCTCACACTACCCGCATCCTTGAACAATTGTTTCTCTTTTCCAAAGATAGATACATGAAAGAAATGATATATGCCAAATTCAGGATCCCGGTTGCCCCTAGTGGGGAGGGAGGGACATAAGAGCAAGCGGAGGTACAAAGGGGACTTTAACTATGTAGACAATATTTTATTTTGTATGTAATAAGAACTTCAAAATTATTTTTAAAATCTCAATATATAGCTCACTCTGAGCAACTCCAAGTAGAATTTTTCAAAAGCCACGTAAGCTGAGAGGTTGAGTTTTTACTTTATGCAATATTTACTGTCTCTATAAATAGTATTTATCCCAAGTTTTCTTTCTGTGGCAAATTTGCCAACACAACATGTGAGGGACCTATTGGCAGGTGAAACAAAGTCCATCTGGAGAATAGCGATTCCGTGTGTCAGCCTGGTTTGTCACATGCATGTTCTTCTGCTCTGTTCTTTTTTTAGCCCAATTTTCTCAAGCGCATTGAATTCCGTGCTCAGCAGATGGGACCTCCCTGTCTTCACCCTCCCTTTCAACATGGCATTGTCAATGTACCTTTCAGCCACAGGACATTACAATCCGTTCTTTCCAGGCAAATTGGTCATACCTGTAACTTCACAGCCAAATATCTCCTGGTCTGATCTAAGTGCCCTGGAGGTAAGAGACACTGGCTTCTCACATTCCCCCTGGCTCTGCAAGATACGTAATGGCCTCCTAGTCAATTGTCCATGGATGTCAGAGTCTCCTAGATGCTCAGAACTATGATGGCCTTTCTGCCTTCATCTTGCCGTTTAAGGCGTTTGTTCTACTCCAGAGCATTAGGATCTAACGGTTTTTTTTAAATTACTATTTAGTCAAGCTAATTTTTCTGCCTTTTACTCTAAACATCTACAGTGCTAACCCCAGAGTGTAGTTCCACAAGGAGTCACTCTATCGTAAGCTTAGGGGTGAGGTGATGGGAGCCAGCCCTTAAGGCATGTGGCCTCCAGCCTGGTTTTAAATCTTCCACAATCTACTTCCTCCAATCAAAAAACTGGATGCTTACTGTTAGAGCTCATGACAGTACCTCACTATTTTGCTTTTCCTTATGGCATAGCCCATAGAACATGTAGGATAATTTAGGGTTCACAAGCTTTGATAGGCACCAGAATCACCTGGGCAATTTTTTTTTTAAATACCCAAACAGGCTTCCTCTCAGACACTCTAAGTCATAATCTCTAAGGGTGGGACCTTGAACCTGTTTTAACAAACTCCCCAAATTGTGATGCAGGCCAGAGTTTGAGAAGTGCTGTATCAAGGGATGCATTCTATGTATCTCTTTAAAGATGGCCATAAAGAGATCCTGTATTTTTTAAAACCTAGTTAACCCAATCAAATTCCAGCCCTTCCTGTTGGTGTTTAATGAATCTGCTTAACGTTTCTGGATTGTCAAGAACAAGAGAACACCTGAAATTAGAAGAAAACCAAAGAAACCTTACCTTTTTCAATGCGCTCTCTCACTTTCAGGTTATGAAACACCCTTTTCTGTCTTCTTCGTTGAGTGATCAAAACACACGAGGAGCTCAAGTCACCTTTTCTTTAGCTTATTGCCAGAAAATGAGAGGGAGCACCTAGAAATAATTCAGAAGGATAATCAAAGATTCATTAGAACTACCCATGAAAAATAACAGTATAAAATAGCATTAATCTATCTAGAACCGCACTAACACAGGCATCAGCAACCCCATGTGGCTATATAAATTTAGATGTAAATTAATTAAAAATTGAGTTCCTCAGCCGGGCGCGGTGGCTCAGGCCTGTAATCCCAGCACTTTGGGAGGCCGAGGCGGGTGGATCACGAGGTCAAGAGATCGAGACCATCCTGGTCAACATGGTGAAACCCCGTCTCTACTAAAAATACAAAAAATTAGCTGGGCATGGTGGTGCATGCCTGTAATCCCAGCTACTCATGAGGCTGAGGCAGGAGAATTGCCTGAACCCAGGAGGCAGAGGTTGCGGTGAGCTGAGATCACGCCATTGCACTCCAGCCTGGGTAACAAGAGTGAAACTCCGTCTCAAAAAAAAAAAAAAAAAAAAAAAAAATTTGAGTTCCTCAACCTCTCTAGCCACATCTCAGGTGCTTCATAGCTACACATGGCTAGAACCTACTGTATTACACATCACAAATACAGACTATTGCATCGTCTCGGAAAGTTCTCCCGCACAGTGCCCACCTGGGGCAGGGGAAGCCTTGTCCTTCTCTTCACTCTGAACAACCAGCCCATCATCAGCACCAACCCCAACCCCATGGCTACCTGAGAGAGGGTTCTGCAGTCAAGTCCAAAGGAAGAAAAAAAAGCCTATGCCATCTTTGCCAAGTTTGCTGGTATAGAAATAGCAAATGTTTAGACACGAAGACCCAGCATGGGCTGGAAGAATTTAGAGTCTATCTTAGGATAGAGGCAAACTCACACTATGGTCAGTGCACTTAGCCAATGTTAGACTCAGCCTAATATAAGAAGGGAGAAGACACTTGCCCTTGTGCCAAAGCTGGGGCTGCCTCTGGCAGAGCCACTGCCTCCAGGTCTTTGGTACACATACGACCTAGAAATGGCGGAGAGGGCAAGATGGGAGCTGGGGAGAACATCTTTCAGTAAATGGCCTTGCTCAAAAAGGACCTGCCGTGGCTAATTATGCCTATCCTAGCGCTATCAGAAGCTCAGCTGTAAAGAATGATCACTTGTTAGGTGTGGCCAAACCCTTGTTCACTCCTGAGAACTGCCACTCTATGAACAGAATAACTAAATTTAGACCTCAGCCAGAAAGTAGAATTGTGACATTTCCATGTATTTTTTTTGTTTTAAGACCTACTTGACAGTTGTGCATAACTGGAATAAGCTAAAGATATCTTGGTTTAAATGAATACATGTCCCACTTAAAGACAGAAAAGTAAATTCACAAACTTGCTAATACTTGCTTCTAAATTGTGGGTAAGATAACCCGGCTTTGGGTCTCTGGCTTTAGTGTAAGCATCCAAATTGCATGGTGATAATAATGTCTCTATTGAACATAGGGATGCGTGGATAGAATAGATTGTCTTCAGCACTGATGGACAGTTGAAAGCAAAAGAAGTATCAGCTGTGGTCCCTGCCATCCCCAGGGGGAAGCGTGGCAGATCCTCACAGCCAGGACCAGTGAGTGGCATCACACTGGGAGCTTATTGGTGACCAAGGCCAAGTGTCAGTGCAAGCAGGAGAGCCCGCAGGGGGAGCTTTGAGAAGGCATGAATGGCACGCACCAAGGAAGGGCTGGTGTGTCTCTGGGGATAAAGCTGAAGAATGGCTGGGATTTTTCTGTAATGAAAGAATTTTAAAAGGCACTAACACTGTTCTTGAAAAAGATAAGGTCTGTCAAGTCTAAAATTACATTGTAGGAGTTTGTGAGTGTCCTGGGGGGTTTCTGTTCTGTTGTTTTGGCGGCCTCATTTTTTAAAATTTCTTTTGCAGTTATTGAAATCTATACCAGTGGGGGTTGGTCAGATCTACGGCTGTGATAATCCGTGGACAGGAGGCATTTTCCTGGGAGCCATCCTGCTCTCCTCCCCACTCATGTGCCTGCATGCTGCCATCGGATCCTTGCTGGGCATGGCAGCAGGTGAGCATAAGGGCCCTTACCAAATATCGAGCACCTCCTCCATCCCATGCAGTCTCAGGCATCTCCTGTGCTCCAGATCTTTCTTGAGGTCTTGGCTTCCTACCGACCAATAGGAGTTCTCGGGATGCTTCCTGCCAACCTGCAGTCCCACCCTCTGTCTCCTTCCACAACATCCTGCCTTTAGTCCTAAGCTCTGACCCCTCCTGTCTTGTCTAACAGGACTCAGTCTTGCAGCCCCATTTGAGGACATCTACTTTGGACTCTGGGGTTTCAACAGCTCTCTGGCCTGCATTGCAATAGGAGGAATGTTCATGGCGCTCACTTGGCAAACCCACTGTCCTGGCTCTTGGCTGCGGTGAGTCTCCCCCACACCTGGGGGAGGGCTGCTCATGACTACAGGATCAAAATAAAGGAAAAGCAATAACAATCAGGGCCAGCGTCTGGCTGGGGCCCACTTGCTGTCTAAGTGTATGAACAGGACAAATGACATCCCTTCTCTGAGAGCATTAAAGTTGCCTCTGCCTACCTCCCTGGTGATTGTGAAGGCAAGAGCCTGTTGAGTCATATTAACATACGAAAATATGCATGTTTGGGAGGATAGAAATGACTTGTCCTACCTTCTTCAAAATAGTTGTTTGACCCAAGAAACTAAAGGGAAATAATGCCAGCTAAATACAGAGCAACATCCCCTAGTCAATCAGGGTTGATTACATTTGGCTCTTTGAGCATCACAGTAATCCAGCCATTCTAAAGCTTGAGAGCGCATCAGAATCACCTGAAAGATCTGTTAAAACACAAATTGCTGCTCCCCCTCGCCCTGCCTCAGTCTCTGATTCAGTGTTAGAGGGTGGGGGGTGGGGGAAGAATGTTTTTTTGTTGTTGTTTTTCTGAAAAAGTGTCTCATTCTGTTGCCCAGGCTGGAGTGCAGTGGTGTGAACACAGCTCAGTAGCAATGGGGTCTTCCTATGTTGCCCCGGGCTGGTCTTGAATTCCTGGGCTCAAGTAGTCCTCCTGCCTCCGCCTCCCAAAGTGCTAAGATTACAGGCGTGAGCCACCGCACCCTCAGAATTTCCACTTCTAACAAGTTCTCAGGCGGTGCTGATGCTGTTGTTCTTGGGACCACATTTCAAGAACTGTTGTATTAATCATTTCTGACCCTCAGTGTTCTTGCCAGACACAGCCTGTCAGAGCAACAAGGCATTCTGGAGACTTCCACTCCATCCTTCTCATTTTACTGTTGGAGTCCTGAAGGCCAGAGAGGCTAAGGGATGTGCCGAAGGGCGTCTGGGTAGTGAGGGGTAAATTCACACCCAGAACCCACACTTACCATTCACCTCCAGAGTTATCCTACGGCACTCCTCTGCTTCCCTTTCGTAGCATTCAGGCCTTCAAGGCAACCTCTTAGGTGAAAACAGACTGCATGTGATTTAAATCTGAAACGCTAATGGATGTCCCAGGTGGATTGTGAATGGAGGCTCATTCACACATAGCCTCTGGCATCCCTAATTCAACAAAAGTATAAGCATCTAAGATAAGCTTCTAGAGTGGAGAGAATGAGAATCCCTTGGAAACAAAGAAGAAGGAGGATAGTGGAATGTGGAGAAATTATTTCTAATCTAGTGAAAACATATGTCTATCCTCAGTTTATCACCAGATTAATCAAGGTTCTAAGCAGTTATTAAAATGGTGGGCCACATATCAGGCAAGATTTAGAATAGGTTTCTGCACTGGCAGAAAATGGGATGATACCAACGGTTTTTAAAGACCCATTCCATTTTGATTTGATGCTATAGCAAGGGTAACAACTCAGGTTGCTGTGGTATAGCCATGTAGATGTCATGTTGTAAAATTGTTTACTGTTACTCAGCTATTTCACCTAACAGTTCTGTTTAAATGTCGTGCTGCTTCTCCATATTTGTTCACAAGCTTAGGGTAAAGGAGAGGGTTATGGACAGGTGCTGTATTCACCTGAGTTCAGCTGGGTTAGAATGTTTATCCTACAACCTTTCAACTTTATTCTGAGATTTGTTAGGGGTTTCAAACCTTTTGGGATGCATATCTTTATTTTTCTGGGGGCCGTAGCCACAAATATGTATTAAACACACACGATACAATTGAGACAGTACCAGGAAGAGCAAGTGGTTTAGAAGCTTTAGGTCCTCTGCAGTTCCTGTGCACAGAGCGTTACAGTAGAGGGCAGAAGCCAGGCAAGGGAGGGAGCCCAAGGGACACCATGCAATCTTTGTGGGAGAAGAAGAAGTCCACAGTACAGGATTCTCCAGGGGGCCATTTCCATTCAGAATGATCACAAAGTGCCTCCTAGAGAAGGGGGCTTTTCCATAAATGCTAGAAAATAAGAGGAGGAATTCTGTTTGGTGGAAAAGGTGGTGCAGGCCAGCCTGGGGACAGCCTGAGCATGTCCTTCAACATCAAGGAGAAGCCATCTTGAGCAGAGGAGATGGTGATGAGGTTTTGGCAGACCCTGGAGAAGGATGAAGCCAAAGCTCTTGACATGTGCTTCCTCAAGTGGGAATATCTTTGACATTTTCTCAATTACAGAAGCAGCAGCACAGGTTTATTGTATAAAACAAAATAAAACTGTAATCTGTATAGACATGTATACAACAGAAAGTGGAAACACTCCATCTTACTCCCTAGAAAGGACTTTTTTGCCCCTTTCTTATGAGGACCCTTGTGATACACTGTGGGTCTATTCAGTAGTCTGGGATACTCTCCCCATCTCAAGGTCTTTAACTTAATCACAGCTGCTGCTAAGTACCTTTTGCATTTGAGGTCACATAGTCTCAGGTTCTGAGGCTTAAGATGTGACACCTTTGGGGACCATTATTCTTCCTACCACACTCACCTTCCTTTGGATAGATGTGTGGTTTTTTTTTTCCACTGGGGTAGCATAATGGTTAAGGCAGTATACTGAGCTAGTTAAGAGCTCAGACTCTGGTGCCAGATAGCCTGGATTCAATTCCAGCAGTTCTGCTACTTACTAGTGTATTTGCTTATGAATTTAAGCAAATTACTTAACCTTTCCATGGCTCAGTTTTCCCATCTTACAAAATGGAAGTTACCATATTTAATTCATACAGTTGTTCTGATGATTAAATTAATGTGTGTGTAAAACTCAATGAATAAATAGTGTCTAGCACTCAGTAAGCACTATTTAAAAGTCTGGAAAAAAGTTTTTCTGGTGGCTTTGCATAACTTAATAAGAATCAAATTTGTTTATTTTCTCCTCTCAATTTCTTAAGTTCATCAACACCTGTATCTTCTCCCCAAATACAACTAATACCCGGGCCTGCTTTTACTTCCTCTGAGAAGGCCCACCCCCTAACAACTACTAAAACCATTGATACTAGATAGAATTTTTATTTTGCATTAATTGTAAGTATGGGTTTTTGTTTATGATACTTGCTTATTTAGGCAACTGTAAACTTTATTAACTCGTTTTTTTACTCTGACTTAGTTCATATCAACCTTCTATATTTTTTTTCTTTTTTCCTTTTTTTTTTTTTTTTTTTTTTTTTTTTGACAGAGTCTCATTCTATTCCCCATGCTGGAGTGCAGTGCTGCAATCTCAGCTCACTGCAGCCTCCACCTCCTAGGTTCAAGCGATTCTTATGCCTCAGACTCCCAAGTAGCTGAGATTACAGGCATGTACCACCATACTCAGCTAATTTTTTGTATATTTTGTAGAGACAGGGTTTTGCCATGTTGGCCAGGCTGGTCTCAAACTCCTGACCTCAAGTGATCTGCCAGCCTCAGCCTCCCAAAATGCTGAGGTTATAGGCGTGAGCCACTGTGCTCAGCAACCTTCTGTATTTATGTGTCTTCCTGCTGGATTACTATTTCAAAGAGGGTTTGCAAAGAGAGTTTTGTCTTCTTCAAAGAGGGTTTGCAAAGAGACCTTGTATGCTGGAGAATATCTTTATTTTACCTTCATTTAAATTTTAGCTTTGCTGGCTACCAAACTCAAGATTTAACATTTTTTTCTCAATATTTTGAAAATTGTCTTCAAAACTACTCCATTATCTTCTTATACCCTACATTGTTATTAAGATGTCTGAAAAGAAACTGATTCTTGTTAAAGTTGATTTCATCTTTCTCTCTGGACTCTCTGAATTTTCTCTTCACATATTAGATAGATATATACATGGTTTTATTCACTATTATCTGTCTAGATACAGCTTTTTTTTCTATGCTACTTGGTACTCAAGCCCTCATATCTTTCTTTAATTCTGGGAACAATATCAGATTTCACTTTGTCAAATCTTTTCAATTTTTTCCCCTCTCCTTCTGTGATTTCTAGTATTTGAGTGCAATACTTTGTTATTTTTTTCATAACTTGACTTTTTCTTAATATTTTCCCTCTACCTTTTCATGAGGCCCTTCAGTTCAGTTGATGAGTCCCATCATTCTTTGACTCTGTCCATTGTGCTGACCATATCATCCATTGAGTTCTTCATTTCTGGTACATTAATTAAATTTTATTGGCCAGGCACAGTGACTGACGCCTGTAATCCCAGCACTTTGGGAGGCTGCGGTAGGTGGATCACGAGGTCAAGAGACGGAGAACATCCTGGCCATCATGGTGAAACCCCGTCTCTACTAAAAATAGAAAAATTAGCTGGGCATGGTGGCATGCTCCTGTAATCCCAGCTTCTCGGGAGGCTAAGGCAGGAGAATTGCTTGAACCTGGAGGGCAGAGGTCACAGTGAGCCAAGATAGTGCCACTGCACTCCACCCTGGTGACAAAGCAAGACTGTCTCAAAAAAAAAAAAGTATCGACTGTAGGTTGTTCAGTTTATTATCCTTCTTTTATGGTGTTTGCTCTCCTAGGATGTCCCCTTTCCTTGTCCTGGGAGCTCACGTTTCCCTCAGCTGTCTGAGTGAGTCCCTGAGTGGAGAGTGGAAGTCCAGGCCTGAGCTGCATTTTTCCTGGTGTATCTAAGAAAAAAGGGAGGCCCATGCTGCAGGGGGTAGAACTCCGCTGCTCAAGGCCATGGAGATGGTGGCTGTGTAGACACTTATATGATAAGTGCCCTCTCGCTGGGGGAAGTTCAGACTGCTTCTAGTTTGAAACCATTACAAACAGTCCTGCAATGAATATTTTTGGTACCAATGTCCTTATGTACTTTGAACAAGCATTTCTGTAAGAAAGAAGATTCACCTTCTTTCCAAGAAGCTGAATTGATGGGTTAAAGGGAATGCCAATTTTAATTTCAATGGATGCCAACTTCATCTCCAAAAGGGCCATACCAGTTTCCACTGCTGCCAGCAGTGTGTGACAGTGCCCGTTGGGTCCCCACAGGGTACAATCAGACTTTTAAATCTCTGTGCATGGATTTTTGAGACAGATCTCCAGCCCCTCTTGTCAAGTGAATTTCACATGTAAAATGCCACAGCAAGTTTCAGCTTGTCCACAGCCTCCCGATATTGCCAAACAAAAGACCAACCCTGTCAGCCAAGATAAATAAATGGCAGACATTTATTACAGAGCTGTTTTTTCATTAGTTCCCAGTGACTTTATCCGGAAGTGGACTCGGGAAACTCTAACAGAACCTGGCACTGCTCTTATCTGGCCTCTAAGCCAGAACAACTGCATAGCCAGAGACTGTCTCAATGTTGTTGTTTTATTAGTGGAAACTGTAAACAAATTTTGTATTCTTCTCGACGGCTAGGTTATCATAGTGGGACTCAAAAGGAGAGAAGGCAATAAAGTCTCATGTGCTCAAGGGCGGTGTTGTGGCAGAGGGGGCACTCAAGAGAGCAGGGACAGAGGGCCCCGGTGCTTAGCAGAGGGCCAATAGTTGTTGAATTAATTGATTAATGAAACTTTAACAATGAATGGAATTGATGTGACTGAGGAGAGAAACCCTTCTAAGCTAAGCCATGAGCACCCTTCTGCTCAGAGCAGTAGCTTAGTCCCATGGTGAAAGAGGTGCATTCAAATCTGTGTTTGTGGAAATACAACCTCTCATTTGGGATTCATCATCTCCCAGTAAGGCAGATCTTCAAGTTGCTTTTCACAGATGATGAAACTAGATTCCAAGACATCCAGTGATTTGTTATACAACAAACAAAATGGCAGAGCTGGGATTTGAAACCAGTACTGTTTCCAAAGACCAGCCCTTCCTGCTAGTGTGAGACAATTCAGACATGAAAACATTTGATCTACTATTGAATAAGGAACACCAGGATAAAAAAATAACGTATTAGTAAAAGGACAGAAGTCTATGGTAAAGTAAATGAGGGTCAGAGAGGCCCTCCCACCTTATCCTGCCACATCCCCTTGCACCAAGACAGCTCATGTGATTTCTCACCAGACATGAAGACGAGATGGTGAGTGTGTCTAGCGGTGAGCTCTGGTGGCCCAAGTGGCTGTGTGACCATTATATGAAGGCTATTCTTCAGGCTGTCCCCGTGAAACCTGAGGGCTTTCCTGAGCCTCTGTGAGCCTCCTCTTCAACCAAAACTGAGGAATAGATAATTAGCTGGTTGAGATCTTTGCTTTTGTTGTTCTACATGGAAAGTCACACCTATACTCAAATTACTGACTCTACAATTTTTTTGGCCACTCAAAGTAAATAAAAACTAAGACATCTAGTCATTGATTTTTAATGGTATTGGAGAAGATGTTATCAAGGGGAGGAATCCTGAGTTTGTGTTCAGTTCCTGCTGTTCTCTGAGTTCTTTCCTTCTTATGTTGGTATACATGGTTTGGTTTCGGTTTTGAGTACATGGGCTGCCAAAGCAAGCACTATGATTTTTTGTAGCTGGGAATTCAGTTCATTAATATGAGAATCCTAGAGGCAGAGAGATTGTTTAGAAACCATGGTATCTCAAGAAACATTCATAGGTTTCATTTTAATTCAGCTATGCTTGGATAAAACATCAGAGAAGTTTATTGCCATGGAAGGACTTTCCCTTAAGTATCAGCAATAACAAAATAGTAACCACAAAAAACTACCTTTATTGAGCACTTAGTTTGTGCTAAACACATGCATTATTTACTTTCAAGCTCACACCAATACCATGAAAGAGATATTCCTCTTATTTTTACTGTACAGGTGAGGAAATGGAGGATTAAAACAGAGTCCATGGAGCTCCTAAGTGGTGGAGCCAGGATTTGAACCCAGGACTGCTGACTTTAGGCTCATGCTTGTAACCAGGGCACTGTGCATTCTGGATGATTTATATTGGAAGGAAGACTTTCCTGTGATTAAAAGTGCATCTACCAAGCATTGTTCTCTCTCTCTCTCTCTTTTTTTTCTATAGCCCTGTTCACGGCCTATCTTGGAGTCGGCCTGGCAAACATAATGGCTGGGGTGAGTTTGCTTTAATCTCACTTTTTATTAGCATAATTGACAAGCTTTCAATTATATGGAAAGCGCTCCTGAAGTCCACTGTGGTGGCATCCAGTGGCAGGACCCACGACCATGAGAAACACTGCTCTTCCTTCTGCTGGAGCTGCCTGGCCTTTCTTTTCGCATCACAGCAAATTTTAGTCTAATCCACAATCACCCAGTATGTTACAAATATCAGATTGCTTGGTTAAAAAAAATGAAACTTAGGTTGTGTAATATATTATCAAGTTCAGAGGCTAACTCTGAGTGATAAGAAGTAGACTTTAGGGTATCTTTCCCTTAACCAGAAAGCCAGATATTCCATTGCAGGTGATGCCGGGCCAGTTTCTGATAGCTCAGTCCATGTTGACGTGGTCATGGCTGCTAAGGAGTCAAGGCAGTATCTAGCCCTCTTGGCAACAGCATGGAGATTTTATCTGGGAGGGTCCCTAAGACAGAATGTCTTTCTGGTAGAAAGCCAAAGTCCCATTACAGCCATGCATGATGGAGAGTATATCAGAGCACAGGAGGCCCTTCACATGTCAACAAAGAAGGTTCACAGGCATCAGTTCATGGACCCAAATGGGCAAATTGCACACCAGAGTCAGCTAGGAAGGCAGAAGAAGATGGAGCCTTAGGCCCTGTCCTTTGGTATTTCTGACAGAGTAGGTCTTGTATGATGCTTGAACATATGTGGTTTTTTTTAACTACCCCAGATGATTCTATGTACAGTCATGTTAGGGTACCCCTACACTCCATCACACCCTGGGGATGTCCATGCATTGGCCAGAGCTAACCAATGGTGTATGCTCAGAATTGTGTGTTTCCATGGGCAGCACAAAGAGGGTCTACCCTCAAGGAACTTAGAGTCTATTTGGGAAACAGAATGGAAAGAAACAAAGTAAGTCCAGTCTAAGACCTAGACCAGGCAAAAATCAAGGTTAGAGAGGTCACTGTGGGTTGGACTAATCATAGAAGGCCTTGCGTACATGACGAGTGGTCAGGGGCCATCTGCAGTTTGCAAGTGTCATCTCTGTCTGTCAAGTGTCCTCTTGGCATATCTGGTACAGGAAATCGGAATATACAAGAGGGAGAGAAAGACATACAAGATAGGGACGTAAGTGGCTACCCTAAAGAATGGATGTCAACATTCGAACTGCTCAGTGCCCTGAGATTGTAGACTCAGTCTCCATGAGCATGCACAGAATCCACAGAATGTCCCCAGTGGTTCATCCCCCTGGGTTGAATGCGAGTAGAGGGGGATGCTTTGTGCAGCCCAGCTGTCAGATGGGATCTGAAAGGAGTATGTGGCTTTCTCTTCTTTCCCAGATTGGATTGCCAGCTTGTACCTGGCCCTTCTGCTTGGCCACGATATTGTTCCTCATCATGACCACAAAAAATCCCAACATCTACAAGATGCCCCTCAGTAAAGCTACTTATCCTGAAGAAAACCGCATCTTCTACCTGCAAACCAAGAAAAGGATAGTGGAAAGCCCTTTGTGAGAATAAGCCCTATCTGCAGCCATGGTCACGAGTCATTTCTGCCTGACTGCTCCAGCTAACTTTCAGGGTCTCAGCAAACTGCTGTTTTTCATGAATATCAACTTTCATACTAATGCATCTGCAATCTGTTCTTATGCTCATTTTGTATTTTCCTTTCAACTCCAGGAATATCCTCAAGCATATGAGAGCCACATCTAGGTGATGTGCTCTGGTATGGAGTTGGAAAGCCCAGTTGGGGCTTGGCACTAAGACTGGAACATATATAAAGTCAAAGTGCTCCAACAGAAGGAGGAAGTAAAAACAAACTATTGTTATTTATTGATATTCTTGGTGTTTCACTAGCTGGATGATGTTAACAGTATTAAAAATTAAACCCCATAAACCAGCTAAGCCTTATGGAATTCACAGTCACAAAATTGAAGTTAATTCAGAATTCTGTGATAAGCAGTTTGGCTTAAAAAAAAATCAATGCAAGTTACAAATTACAGCCTGGGTCAATATTGCAGAAGTGCAGGCTGACAGCTGAGCTTGGTCCCCACTTCCTGCAAACAGTGGCCTGCACCCTGTCCCTTGTGTGTATAGCATTCTCTCATGGGACATAGTTAGAGTTTTTCAGACCGATGGGACTGCAAGAGGGAGAAAGGAATTTTGTCCAGCAAAATTATTCTGTATTGCAACTTTTCTTACAGATTGTAAAGGATTTTTTAGGTAGAGATTATTTTTCCATATGAAAAATGATCTGTTTTAAAAGAGACAAAATAGGAGAAGTTCCTGGCGTAACCTGTTCTTAGATATTAAAGAAAACTTACATACTGTATTTATAAAATACTCAGGTATTTTCACTTTAGCCCCTACATTGATTTTGTAAATGCCACAAATGCATAGAATTGTTACCAACCTCCAAAGGGCTCTTTAAAATCATATTTCTTATTCATTTGAGGATGTCTTATAAAGACTGAAGGCAAAAATCAGATTGCTTATGGGTGTTATTTTTATAAGTTGTTGAATTTCTTAATTAATAAAAGCTCATTATTTCCTGCACACTCACAATATTCTCTCTCAGAAACCAATGGCATTTGAACCACCAAAAAGAAATGAAGGCTGAGCATGATGGCTCATTCCTATATCCCAGCACTTTGGGGAGCTGAGGTAGACAGATTATCTGAACCTAGGAGTCCAAGACCAGCCTGGGCAGCATGTTGAAACCCCATATCTACAAAAATTACAAAAATTAGCCAGGCATGGCGGTGGGTGCCTGTAGTTCCAGCTACTCAGGAGGCTAAGGTGGGAGAATCGCTTGAGCCCAGAGGTGGAGGCTGCAGTGAGCTGAGATCATGCCACTGCACTTCAGCTTGGGAGATGGAGTGAGACCCTGTCTCAGGAAAAAAAGAAAAGAAAAAAGAAAAAAAGAAATACAGGTAAGGATTCTCCTGTTTTCCTCTCCTTAATTTAAAAGTTATCAATTCTGTAAAGGCTCTGTGACCAAACATGCTGAAGACAGCAATAGAAGTCATGTTCAGGGGCTGGGCACAGTGGCTTACACCTATAATCCCAGCACTTTTGAAGATGGAGGCCAAAGGATCTCTGGAGCCCAGCTTGGGCAACACAGCAAGACCCCATCTCTAAAAAAATAAAAATAACAACATCAGCCAAGCATGGCGACACACGTCTGCAGCAGTACTCGGGAGGCTGAGGTGGAAAGACTGCTTGAGCCAGGAGTTCGAGGCTGCAGTGAGCTATGATCATGTCACTGCACTCCAGCCTGTGTGACAGAGCAAGAACCTCTCTCTAAAATAATTAATTAATTAATTTAAAAAGGAAGTCATGTTCATTTACCTTCCACTTCAGTATGTATCGTGCAGTGTTTTGGAAGCTGGAAAGTGAAACTTCGGAATCCTGAAGGTTTTTTCCACTTCGAGTTTGTAGTGCTCAGTGCACAATATACAGTTTGCTGTATTTGAATGAACAAACAGAAGTAAAACTTAATATTTGAATGAATAAACGGAAGTAAAACTTAACAATATTTTAGGGAGAAGTAAACTTACAAATATTTTAGGGAGAAGCTCACCTCTTCCCTTTCTCAGGAAAGCAAACAAGCACACATTGTTCCAATTGTAAAACCCTTTGACCAAAGCCTTTGAAACTATGAACTTTGCAACTGTCATAGTTTATGGATCTTGCTGTAGAGAAGCTCAATTTTCAGTGTTTGAATTGAAACCTTTCTTGTTAGGGAATGTGTGAAAGAAGAATTGTAGGGGGAAAAAAGCAAGCACAACCAAAGATCATCAGCAGTGAAGAATGTGGGCTGTGGTTGAGTGAACCAGAGGCCTCTCACATGGACCCAAGTTGATCTTCAGAACAAGGCACTACTGTGCAGCATCTTCTCGTGCTCACATAAATCCTTAAACAGGATCATTGTAAAGCCTTGTACATTGTCTAATTTAAATAATATTCATTTTCTCAGGCGATTTTTGTTACTATTATCCTAAAATTGAGTATTTGTAGGGAGCACTCATGTTTTCCTAATGTCTGTATAACAAATTTCTATGCAAGTATATGAATAAATTATGCCCACAGCTCAGTTTTGTGTAATGTGCCATTTATAGCCATCATGTAGACGAACAATCACAAGCATAAGTAGGTATTGCTTATGTTCTATCCTTATTCTTTTCTTTACTTGGTAATAGCACCAGATGTATAGTGGAGTAAACCCTGTTCAAAGTTTACTCTCCTTGGGTGTCCTCTCAATTATCCATTGTTCTTTCAACTCATGAGAATGAATAACTGAGGACAGTTGTTCAGGACATGCTCCTAACACTTTGAGATCAATATCCTGAGAGCCACTTCCATGCATTCCCAGACAGGTCCTGGGCACCCCCATCAGGGCTGACCCTGGGCCACAGCATGGCTCACAGGTCAGCTGTCTAGGACAAGCCACTTATCAGAATGTTATACCCTAAGGCTGAAGCCACAGCCATGCTTGTCTCTGCCACAGAAGCACTTCTCTTCCACCTCCTTTCACCAAGGTTGGCAGATTTGAAAGAAAATATGCTAAGAAGGGAAATTTACTTCAACAAGTTTGAATCATAAGTTCCAAATCAGCCCTAAAAGGAAACTAAAGAAGCCACAATGGGGTGTCCCTATTGAAGTGCCCTCTGTGATAACAAAACCTCTCCTACCTATGGGTTTCAAGGTAAACTCAAATTTACCAGAGTGATCTGGTCATTCTATGTCTTCTTTTGTCTGGGTGACAAAAGACAGATTGTGAGGCTCTTATGCTAAAGACACTCTATACCTTTAGGAGCTACAAGGGCCAACTTGCCTGTTAACCCATGATATGTGATTAGCATGGAATACGTCAAGATCAAAGCTACGTTTAAAAGAAACCAGGAATTTCTAAGGAGGCTTCTTATAAACAACTTTGCAAGAGTATTTTTGTTGTTAGTAAACATAAGACAAGATTTCATACACAGGACTGTTTTCAGCCTTTCTCCTTATCTAACTTCCTTCCAAACAGCTTCACTCCTTAGTTTCATCTTCTTTTTGAATCTACATTGACAATCCCCAGACCATTAGGAGGGCTCATAGCTTCAAGACTGTAGAGTTCCACTTTCCAAAACAATCAACAATTCAGATCCTGAAGGAATTTAAGGCTTCATAAATGAATATAGTAAATAATAGACTTTTTTTTTTTTTTTTTTTTTTTTTGAGACAGAGTTTCACTCTTGTTACCCAGGCTGGAGTGCAATGGCACAATCTCGGCTCACCGCAACCTCTGCCTCCTGGATTCAGGCAATTCTTCTGCCTCAGCCTCCCAAGTAGCTGGGATTACAGGCACGTGCCACCATGCCCAGCTAATTTTTTGTATTTTTAGTAGAGACGGGGTTTCACCATGTTGACCAGGATGGTCTCGATCTCTTGACCTCGTGATCCACCCGCCTCGGTCTCCCAAAGTGCTGGGATTACAGGCTTGAGCCACCGCGCCCGGCAATAATAGACTTTTAAAGAATGAAATATAAGTATAGTCTGCTTTCACACCTCTTAATAAAACCAAAAGTTAGATGTGGTAGATCAGAGCAGACGTGCAAAGTCACCTAAAAGAGAAAATTGCTCCCAGGACTAACCTAGCCTTATTTAATATTAACCTGGTAGGTGTGAACATATCTAAAGCAAGCTTAAGTCCACTTGATGGGGTAGCAAGACAACCACTGAGGCTCAGGAGAAGGAGGAAAACCTAGGAAGGGGGTCTTCAGTAATGGAAGTTTGGGGGGGTGGGACAGCCAAATGTGTCAAGGGTGAGCTCTGTAGGGGAAATGGCACTAGGGTATTACGGTTTAGTAAATGGAACTATTTAAACCAAGCAACTTTTGTTTCTTGTCCAATCCTGTACCCACAAGCTATTTGGCTTCCTGTGTCGACTTGTCTTCCAAGGTAAAAAACACATGTGTCCACATTGATGAGCTTCTGATCCTCGATAGCTCCATTTCTCATTTTGGTTATAATTCTAATTTTTATGTATAAGTCTTTTAAATTTTTACTTAACAAACTTTATAGATCACAAAATCACACACCCTCCACAGGGTGCTCCAAAAAAAGTTAAGTTTCTGAGGCCCCAAACGTCAATAGGGTGAGGGGTGTGCAGTTAGTGAAGGCCTCCATGAGGAAGTAAGGTTTAGGCAGAGAGCTAGGGAATAGGCAGGAGGTGTAGGAAGGTGGAGTGTGGAGGGAGAGATACCCTTGGCAAAGGGAACCTTATGGATAAAGGCCTTGAGATAAGGAGATTGGTGCTTTCAAGGAGTGAGAAGATTGCTGTGGCTGGATTTTGGTGAATGAAAGGGCAAAGGAATGAATTCAGCAAACCAACTGGGAGGCCATTGCGGTAGTACAAGAGAGAAGAGATGGTGACTTGGACTCCAGTGGTGATGGAGAGACATTCATGGATATGACAGACAGGAGGCAGAATCACCAGAACTTGGTGATGAGTTGATTTGCAGCGTGAGGGAGAGGGAGGTGACAAGGACAACTTCCTGATTTCTAGCTTGGGCCACAAGGTGAATGACGGTGCCACATCATCAATGGAGCACTGAAGGGTCGCTTCTCCTCTCACGCTGCACACTCGTCCTCGCTAATCTTCATCCTTCTCATGCTTCAATCCAGACCTTATCTTCAACTCCCTACAGGGACTGCTCCTAAAGCACTTCCTCAAACTCAACATATCCAGGACAAAACTCATCTTTTTCAACTATTCTCTCCCTCTCATGTTGACTCATGGAGAAAGGTAGCACCCTCCATCCAAATGGAAAAGCCAGAAACAGGATGCCATCCTTGTCTTCCTTCTCTCACCTCCAGGAAACAGATACCCAAGCGCTGCTGGTCCCACCTCCTTGATAACCCCATTCATTCATTTATTGAATTACTGTTTACTACATAACAGGAACTGTAACTACAAAGTGAACCAGACAGCCACAGTCTCTTCCCTCACAAAAACTTTATAAGGTAAACTGACAAGCAAAGGAGTAATATAATATAGTGTGGTGATGATGATGAGTAAGAGTCAACCAGGTGACAAGGTGAGGGAAGAGTATGTCAGTGACCTCCTCTTCTTCTAAAAAAACAAAGACAAGAATATATCATTAAGTACGAGGCATCCATACCAGTTAGGATGCCTTTGCTTGCTAGTAGCAAAATACCTGACAAAAAAGTGGTTAAAACAACAGAAATTTTATTCCTAAACATAGGAAGTTCCAGGTTTGGTCCTCAATGATGTAATCAAGGGTGCAATTTCTTTCCATCTTCTTCATTGTTCTCAGCATCCTCAGAAAGCTCCACTTTCATCCTAGAGCTTGTTGCTTCACAGTTACAACATGACTGCCCTAGTTACAAACATCACAACCACATCAGGGAGAATGCGGACAGTTTCAAGAGGGTCATTCTCTCCTGTTCCTCTTCTTTATCAGGGAGGGAAA